GCTCAATGTGCTTTCTGTTTTATTTATTTTTATGTGTATAGGTTTTTGCCTTCAAGTATGTCTGTGTACCACATCCATACCCGATGTCTGCAGAGGCCAGAGAATGTGTCCAGACACCTAGGACTAGCGTTACAGATAGTTGTGAGTTGCCATGTGGGTGCTGAGAACAGAACCTAGGTCCTTTGGAAGAGTGGTCAGTACTGTTAACCACTGAGTCATCTTCAGCCCCTTCTATTAAAGTTTTAAAAAATATTTTTATCAATTCTTTGAGAAGTTTATACACTGTATTTTTATCAGATTCACTGCCTTTCCCTCTTAACTTCCCAAAGACCCACCCCTACTTCCCTAACACCCCAACTTCAAGTCCTCTTTTTTTTTCCTTCTTCTATTAAAAATAACAAGTAACTGAGTCCAATTTCTCATATGCTCTTGGGTATGGGAGCATCCACTGGACCCTGGTCCACCTAACAGTTCATAAACTTAAAGATTTCCTCCCCTAGAAGCCACAACTACCCGCAGCTCCTCATTGGGGTAGAAACTCATGAACCCCTTCCCACTCCATGCTAGAATGCTGACTGGCTGGGGCTCCTTGGGTCCGATGCAGACAACTGCTGATGATTCGTGTTCATGAGGGCAACAACCTGTTATATCCGGGAGACACCATTCCCCACCTGTCTTCTCCAACCTCTGGCTCCTAAAATCTTTCCAGATCTCTCACAGGATGGTCCCTGAGACTTGGGGATGAGGGGTGATATAGATATTCCATTTGTAGCTGACCGATCCACTGATACTTTTCCTCTGCACTTTGTGAGTTTCTTGTTAACCACCATCCACTCTACAAAGAGACTGGTTGGTGAGGTCTGGTCACTATACTGACCTACAGATAAAGGGATACAAACTTGGAGGGCCATTTGATGCCATGTCCATATAGTAGTGGGTTTACTCCTGGGGCCTGTGAACTCCCTGGCCAAGGGCTCTTGGCCATATTTACAGTACCAGACACGTGTTTCTTCTAAGGAGCAGGTCAAAAGTACATCAGAGAACTCTTGGTTACCACGACAACCATGCCAGTGCGGCATGCACCACCATGCTGGCATGCACCGCCATGCTGGCTGTTCTTGTAGCTTGCACGGTTCACAGCTGAGTAAGACTGTTGACAGCTTCCCTCCGGCAGCCTGAATAGCCCTTCCAGTCCTGTGAAAGCTGGCCGGGGGAAGGAAGCTTCCTGCTTAGTACCAGTCCAGTTTTCACCGTGCTGTGACCAACGTGCGTGTTCTCTTCAGCAGTAGGTCTTACCCTCAAGTCCTAGTGGGCAAGAGCAGTAGCGACGGTCTGGATTGTTTGGGGGTATCCATGACAACCTCTGCTAACAGCTTGAAGGAAGGAATCACACACCTGGTGCTGGGCTTTTTATTTAGCAACTTACAGCTTCTGGGAGGAACATCAACTCCTATGTAAGTTATATACCAATTAAATTCTTTAGATGACTGTATATACGTATAGACACATATATATCATATAAAATAGTAGCTTTCCATACAGCTGTGTCAAATACCCCCCACCCTCTCCTCTGCCCGCTCTCCCCTTCCTCTGCCCACATTACTCCCCTTTCCCCATCATATAATAACAAAGTTTTGTTTTGTTTTAAGAAATTAGCTTAGCCGGGCGGTGGTGGCGCATGCCTTTAATACCAGCACTTGGGAGGCAGAGGCAGGAGGATCTCTGTGAGTTCGAGGCCAGCCTGGGCTACCAAGTGAGTCCCAGGAAAGGCGCAAAGCTACACAGAGAAACCCTGTCTCGAAAAACCAAAAAAAAAAAAAAAAAAAAAAAAAGAAAGAAAGAAAGAAAGGAAGAAAGAAAGAAAGAGAGAGAGAAATTAGCTTTTTACATAGAGTGCTTTTCACGACATGAAAATGCTAATGGTAGATACATGTAAAAGCACACAAGCTAGGCTCAGCACTGCTGGTTTCTTTTTCATTGTACTGTGCATCCATGTCTGCCACTGCATCCTCCCTTGGGATTGAAATACTCTTATTCAAATACAGTTTTGCATCTGGAGTGAACTCCGTGACCGTGACCGTCGCTTGCAGAGCAAGGTTCCTTGACCTAATGCAAATGTCACAGCCCATGCTTCCTCTTCCTCGCACTGAGCCAGACATGGAATTCAGCCGTTTTTATTTCCTCAAACAATGCAACATTAGAGGGTGGGGCAAGACAACAGCACCTTGGGATGAGAAAAGAGGGACGTGTGTCCACAACTCTAATGGAAATGAAGATATTTTTTAAATTCCTTTGACTGTGTTGCGGTAGGAAATGTCCCAGAGTTGCTTCAGGCAGTTGCTTCCTGTCATGCGCTCTGGTCGTTTTCATTTTCTCTCTTTCCTGCCCTCCGTTCTCTTCTCAGAGTTGCAGGGCTGCCTGGTCCACAGGGAGGGCAAGTCGGTTTCTCTGCTGCTTGCTTTTTTGCCGTCAGTGTGGGAGGGATTTAGTAAGCACTTCCCCCACAGTGGCTGGTTCCATTCTCCAACCTCACTTTCTCTCTGTGTCTCACACACATTCACACTTCAGAAATATAAAACAGTAATTACATTTGTTCTGTAACAGTTTTACTCATGTATGGAATGCACACTGACCACACTCACCCCTACCTCCCCGCTCCAGTTCCACTGCCCACCATTTTCATACCAATGTCTTTCTGTGTTCGCGTCTATTCGTTGTTTACCCGAAGCCATTTGTGTGAGCGTGAGTTTGATACTGTTTGTTGGAGCCCGGCAGGCTCAGCGGTGGGTACCCAAAAGAAAAAAATGATTCCACCTCTCTCAGAATCTGTCAACAGCCAATAGTGGGAAGGAAGGGGTACAGCCAGGAGCCTCTCCTGATCCGTGATGGATCCCACTGCCTCACTCGGTGAGCTCAGTTTTAGAGTTAGAGAACATAATTTGAAACATCCTTGGACATGAAACTGCCGGCCCAGATGCTGGGGGAGTGATCGCTGTCATACTGGCTGTAAGATGGCAATAATCCACAGAAGGTCTTCTTCACGGTCTGCCGGTGTGGAGAGAGGAGACCAACTGACTCCCTCCCTCTCTTCCCTTCCCCCAGAGTAAGAGGTGTTTCTCACAAAGTTCTCATAGGTACTCGGTGTGGTTATTTCCACCAAGTCACCTTCAAAAGGGTTAAGATTGGCTCTGGGCTAGAAATAGCACTCTTAAAGAAATGGCTTCCAGAAAGAAAACACATGCGCTCACACCCTTGAAACCATGGGTACCACCATTCTCTGCCTTCTTTTTCAGATGATGGCAGAGCCTGCGATTCATGCCTAGAGGCTATGCCTCTTCCATAGGATTTAAGGATAACTCTTGATTGGTGTACACCAACTGTGGCGGATCCTAGACAGAGCATGAGAATATGACACAGTTCTAAACAATACACGATGAGGAATCATCTACTGAAAGTAGAAGGGTTTGGGAAATGGTTCTCTCATTCTTTTCTCTTTTGAGAATTTTATGTATAAGTACTGTATCTGCATCATTTCCATCTCTTTCCCTCCCAACTCCTCTCACGTCCCAACACTACACCTCAAATTCATCGCTTCTTCTTTAATTATTATTTTTACATATATATGTGTATATTTATGTACACACACACACACACACACACACACACACACACACACACAAAACTTACTAAACCTATGTAGTGTTGCCCATAGTGTTTAGGACTGGCCACTTGGGATTATATAACCTATCGGGGCTTGTTCCTGGAGAAAACTGATTCTTCCTTTCTCTCAGTCACTGGTTGCCTGTAGGTCAGGGCATTGTGAAATTTCCCCTATCCACATTTGCATGTCAGCTGGTCTCCTCATTGTTCAGGCCATGTTTAGGCAACCATATTGCTAAGATTCATGGGTACAGCTTCTCTGTGATATCTAAACGACATGCATCCTAGTTCTCTTTCTCTTCATTCTTAAAGAACACAGCAGGGAGGAAAAAGGAAAAACTTTTTCCTCTGCTGATGCCTTCATGTTTGCACCTAATGAGATGGGGCAGTCGTCTTGAGACTGTAGGTTTGGAGTTTGGGCTTCTTCTGTCAGAAGCATCCTGTAATGTTATGTTCAAGCCAATGACCACAGCTGAGTTCCTCTGAACATACTGTTTACTTTAAGTCAGTGTGAGCCAACTTGTCTGGGACTGTCATTTCTATTTGAGTGCTTAAAGGTGCCCGTGTCCCGTGCCCCACCCACCGGTTGCACTAGCATAGCCCCATGCCCCTTCCTGGCAGCTAACAGTAATTTTGCTCAGAAAAATCAGTACTGACCTCTATGGTTTTTTTTCCCTTCACTATGCTCAGGACAAAGATGCTAAGGGGTGACAGGTGGTGTGACCCCAGGGTTGGCCCCTCTTCATTCCCTCGAAGGAGGGAATTACCAAGGCAATCGAGAGAGAGCCCACAATTTTAGGGAAGTCACTAGCCATTCCCATATGTTCTGTCTCTTGTATGTAGACCTAAGTCCAGTTTGACAATAATGGAGCGGTGTTTTATAGGACACCGATAAGATGCCTCAGTGAGTACTCAATCGACTTCCTTTTCCTTTTCCTTTTCCTACCCTTCCTTGCTGTCCAGCCCTGGAGGTTTCCAGCTCAGCAGTGCAGTGTTGTCACATCCATGCTGTGATTGACACGTCTCCCTAGCAACTGGGAACTGATGAGACTGATACAGCTAGAGTGGCCATGCAGGCCTGGAGGTAACAGGAGGCAACCTTCTCCACCTTCTGACAGCTGCCCTCTTCAGACAGGAATGATGCCCTGTGCAATATTCCTTTACGCTGTGTGAACATGTGTCACTGTGATTGGGTTAATAAAGAAGCTGACTGGCCAATAGCTGGACAGGTTAGGGGTAGGTGGGAGAATGTAGTAGGTAAAACGCTGATTGGCCAGTAGCCAGGCAGGAAGTGTAGTATAGGCGGGACAAGCAGAGAGGAGAATTCTGGGAAGCAGAAGGCTGAGTCAGGAGATGCTGCCAGCCACTGCCACCATGAGAAGCAACATGGAAAGTACGGGTAAGCCACGAGCCACATGGAAACTTTTAGATTATTAGAAATGGGTTAATTTAAGATATAAAAACTAGATAGCAAGAAGCCTGCCACGGCCATACAGTTTTTAAGTAATATAAGTCTCTCTGTGTTTACTTGGGTCTGAGCGGCTGTAGAAGCTGGGTGGACTGGAGAAAACTCCAACTGCAGGAGAACCAGACTAAGGACACTGGGAAGAAGAAGCTTGTAGAGAAGAACTGCCAGGGAGACAGGGAAAGAAAACAGGAAGTACAAGATGAGAGAGAGGTAATGCCACGCGGCAGAATGTAGATTAATATAAATGGGTTAATTTAAGTTGCAAGAGCTAGTTAATAATAATCCTGAGCTATTAGCCAAGCATTTGTAATTAACATTAAGTCTCTGTGCTTTTATTTTGGAGCTTGCAGTCCCAATAAAAACTCCACCTTCATGACCTTCTATCATTAACCAAAAATACTCCATGTATGAAACTTTGTCTTTCAAATAATTATAAAGCATGATCCATCCACATTTTTTACAAGCTGACTGCTTTGTGACTTTTCCTGGAGAGATGTGACTAAACCTACTCACCCCAGGAAGGGCACCAATAACAAACCAAAGAAACAATTTCACCCAAATGTGGCTTAGGGAGCCAGTGAGTTTACTGGGGTTCTTGCAGGAGTGTGGGTGAGGGGTTACTATAGAAGTATAGATGGAATGACAGGACAGCTGCCGGTGTCACCAACCCATCACACACACACACACACACACACACACAAAGACACATACACACACAAACACACAAACACACATACACACACAAACACATGCACACACACACATACACACACACACATACACACACAAACACACAAACACACATACACACACAAACACATGCACACACACATACATAAACACACACATACACATGCATACAAACGTACACACACACACACACACACACACACACAGACTGGCGACAGACATGAAAGCTGCTTCTCTGCAGCTCTCTGCAGGACTGGTGCACAGCTCTGTTAATGGACACCTATCCCTAGCCATTGTTCCTGCTTATGTAACGGGGGGGGGGGGGGGGGCGCTTAATCTTGTAGATTTCAGAAGCCTCCTGGGGCTTGTCAGTTTATTTTACTTCCTGGGTCTTTAGGAGTCTCGCCCCAAGAGGAAATGTTTGAAGGAAATTGCTACACTGAGTAGCCTTTGAAATCCTTATAGAATTGCCGGGCGATGGTGGCGCACGCCTTTAATCCCAGCACTCGGGAGGCAGAGCCAGGCGGATCTCTGTGAGTTCGAGGCCAGCCTGGGCTACCAAGTGAGCTCCAGGAAAGGCGCAAAGCTACACAGAGAAACCCTGTCTCAAAAAAAAAAAAAAAAAAGAAATCCTTATAGAAGACCCGCCGAAGGCCAAAATTCGGGAAATACAGTTAGTATGTGTTCTGTTATTGTCTCTTTTACGAACCCTCTTCGCATCATTGGCATTAATTCCATTTAAGCCTCAGCAACTGGTTGTGTGACCTTAAGCCAGTTACCTAAGCTCTTTAAGCCTCCATATCCCAGTAAACCTACGACTGATAATTCCGTTATCAGATGTTAGAAAGGCAATGCAGGGGAGGTGATTGACCCACGGCTTGGCAAGAGGTAAATGATAATAAACACGGACTAAGGCAGTATGTGCCATCCTCACTAAGGACTCTGTAGAGAACATGGCCACAAACTCAGTTCTACCAGTCTTTCCTTTAACGGAGGTGGGAATGACCCTAGCAAAGAGTTCAATCGGCTTGTCTTGAAGCCTGGAGTTTGACAGGCAGAAGTTTAGTTTTACCGAGTGATTGAATAAAAGGTTAATTCAAAATACTTGTACAATTCAGAAAAGTAAAGCATTTTCTTGGGTAGCTAGTACTTCTTTTCTTGGGTCAAGAAAGACAATGGAGTAACAGACCCAGGGCTCTTGGTCTTCCCTCTGCCCTGTGGGATGCTGTACCGAGCGATGAAACTCACTCCACAAGGGGGAGTCAGGCTCATGCTCAATTTCCTCAGGGAAGCCAAAAAGGAATAAAACAAGATCCTGCTCCAAAACTTCTAGAAATTCCCGGAGACATTTTAAAGTTAGTCCTTTAAAATAAAAGATGCCCTATACAGCGAGTTTTCAGCATATCCAAACCTGTTCCCCAAGTTAACCTTTTAAGAAAGGCCACACCCATCTCCCAGCAAAGCCTTTGCTCCTCCAGTTAGTCCCTGTCCCTCCAGCTTCTGTCTCTGCTGGTCCCCGAGTCCCTGATTTCTCCTTTGTGGTTAGTTCTCCAGATCTTTCCTTCAAAGACCACTGGAGCCTAAGCAGCCTGGCCTGCTGTGTTTTCTGCTGGACTCCCAGCAGTCTTTGGGACTCCTTGCATAGTGACGAGCTTCTGATCTCACGTGGTGAGGGAGTGACTTGATGAGGAGCATCCCCAGGAAGAGAGCCATAAAAGCAGTTGAAGTTCAGCCTGCTCAGTTTTTACCTGCTTCTCCAATGACAATGGCTTACACTGCTTCTGTGTGCCAGTGTTGGCCTTACTCAGCAGTTACCAAGAAACTTTGCCTTTCATCCTGTTGCAGGGGAAACCACACTAGACAGTCATTAAGGTCCTGCCCTCAGAAGGAGCCTTCCACACTCAGCCACTTCCTTTCTGTGGGACTTTAGCTTGGGATTACAGATATATTCTCTCTCTGGGGATTGAACCTAGGACTTCATGCATGCTGGGCAAGTACTGTATCCAACCCTATACAGAGATGCTAACAGTCAAAGAGTATGGTAGGAATTAAATAAGATTGAATGCATTAGGAGTTTTCTGATGGTGCCTTAAGGAATCTTGAGAACCTAAGAAGATGTAGCTAAGACACCATTCCAGCAACGAAGGAGGAGCCAGCAATGAGTTACTTCTGCCTTCACACACACACACACACACACACACACACACACACACACACACACACACCAACTGCCTTGACCCTTTCTGGATAAGACTCCTTTCTCTCCTTTTCTATATGCCCATCTGCCAATGCTCTTTAAAACTGGGTTTCTCATTTCTAACTGGATGCAGCCGGTTTCAAACAGGGCGTCCACAGGGGCGCTCTGGGTGTGGGCTCCCTAGCTTTATTACACTCACTTTTAACCAGACAGAACAGACCACTTCCGTTTGCGTTATCAACATAACATGAATTTGTGCAACATGGGTGGGGTGGGGAGGCCAGACCCTCTCAGACCGGCTGGGAAGCCCCGGCAGAGGGCATCTGGAAACACTCAGACAGGCAGCCGTGGTGAGGCATGGTGCCCGGGAGACAAGAGGTCTGCAGGCAGGAACTGGGTGGGGCTGGGGCTGACTCCGCAGCAGTCAGCTCCCCAGCACAGGGCTCAGAACCCTCCAGTGCTTAACTCCCTGCCAATCGCCCAAGACTGTTTTGTGTCTTGGCTCCTGTCGGCTTCCACCAGAAGGAAGCTGTTAGGCTTGAGCCAGAACGCTGTGCTGAGTGGCAGGAGCAGCAGCAGAAGGCGAGACAGAGGGCAGCTGCCACCCACAGGCAGCCCTGCCAATGACCGGAAGTTGGGGATGGCTGGGGCTGCTGTGCCCTGTGGATAACGAAGGACAGTTGATACCCACATGTGCCACACAGTCCTCTGAGTGGATCTAGAAAAAGCTAGTTGGTATATGGTAAAAACTTCTAGTGTGTGTGTGTGTGTGTGTGTGTGTGTGTGTGTGTGTGTGTGTGATATGTACAGGTGTACATGCACACATGCCTGTGCATATGGAGGCCGGAGGTCATCCTCAGGTGTCATTCCTCAGGACACCATCCATTTCATCTTTTGAGACATGATCATCCATTTAACTAGGCTGGCTTCCTGTGAGCCCCAGGGTTCCACCTGCCTCTGCCTCCCCACTATTAAGATTAACCATGCCAGTCTTTTGTACAAAAGTTCTAAGGAAGCCCGGTGGTGGCGCTTACCTTTAATCCCAGCACTTGGGAGGCAGAGCCAGGCGGATGGATCTCTGTGAGTTCGAGGCCAGCCTGGTCTACAAAGCGAGTTCCAGGAAAGGCACAAAGCTACACAGAGAAACCCTGTCTCTAAACCCCCGCCCCCCAAAAAAGAGTTCTGTGGACCGAAGTCATGTCTGGAACCATTTCCCTAGCTCAAGTTCTCCCTAATCTTACTAAACAAACAATATATTTTTGAATATTTAATTTTTCTATTTATAACTTCCATGTTATATTCTTAATTTCAGTGTAAAATAGTATGATGCCTCCATAGCCAAAAGGCATAAGCAAACCAAAGTACCCATTGGTCACTGGATGGATAAACAAGATGCGATATTTATGTTCAGTTAGAAGGAAGGAAGCCTGACATTGGCTACAGCTCTGACGGACCTATGCTAAGTGAATAAGGCAGTTGAGAGCAGGACAAATGTGATCCCCTTCCGTGAGGGACTTGGAGTGATCACTTTTTAGAGTCAGGAAGTTTCTGAGTACTGAGGGGAAAGCCTGGAGTGTTAGAGAAAGTTCCAGCATTCTGGAGGTGGACGATAGTGATGGCGGCATAATGAGGTGACCATCCATTGATATCACTGGATGATAGACTTAAAGGATTAAAACGATAACACTTTTCATATGTAATAACTACAGTAATGTTATGAACACTGATTATTAAATATCTCAAGCACACTGGACAATATAGCAAATAACAGACACAGAGAAGCTTCTGGCTTTAATATATTGCCAATATTTTGCCACATTTCCTTTTATTTTTTATGAAATAACAGCAGGATGAAGCTTATCGTTTCCCCCTCATTCCACGCCATTCATTGTTCTTCTTCCTGTACACATTTCAGCGTTTCACTGTGTAATAACACATGCTAGTATCATGGGGGGTTAAATTAGACAAAAGATTCATTGTCTTTTGTAACTTTCTTTTTTTGTTAACCCAACATTTTTTTCCCACATTAACCTATGTAACCCAT